TCGAAGGTCTGAAAGGGAGATCACAGTGATCAGTTCAGGGACCGTAGGAAATTTGACTGAGGCTTGAATATTACTGGAGAGGGATTTACGTTTGAGGGGGCTCTTGTCAATCCTTGAATCCAGCTTGTGGGGGTTAATCCAGAGAAGAGGGAACTCGTTGGAGGGCGGACAGATAGACAAGCGTTGGACCCAGAGGAGTAAAGGAGCGGACTGTCACTTGGATTTCCGAAGAGAATTTGAATGGTCATGTGGAGGTTTTCCTCTGCTCAGTGTGTACTCAGTTAATCCTTCCAGGGGGAGAAGGTCCAGGTATCCAGTTACTCAGGAGGGCTTCCTGCCGAAGAGTAAAGACAAAAACTGGATAAGACTCAGAGAAACAAAGCTTAGGTTAGACACTGCTAATCTCAGCTTGGCTAGAGTACCCAAAACTGGCAAACACTCTGGCGTCGAGGTAGTGACAGCCCACAGCTCAAATACTCCTCCATTAATGATCCAACGAGCCGCAGGTGTGCAGGGAGGCCCAACGAGGACAGGGCACCACCTGGTGGTGGAGAGAGAAAAACACACAAACAACCTACACAAACTGGATTCCTAACAACTCCATCGAAAAAAAGGAACTCCATAAAACAGTACAAAGTTTATAGTTAACTTCTGTGATGCATTGTAGCATGAGAATAGTTTTTCACACCCGGTAAGCTTCGTGGAGCCATCAGATAAGCACTTAAAACTCATCAAACGCCATATAAATATTAATGACCTTTTATCCATTCTATGATGGTCCCAAGTGTGATATAACAGAGGTGTGGTCATGCATGGGTTAACACAGCTCCCCTTTCAGGCGAACTTAGAGTAATTACTACCAGACAGGCGAGCAGCTTGAAAACGGCCCAAGGCCAGGTTAATCCTGAGGGGCTTCTGGAAAGGGTGAGGAGGGAAAGATGTCTTACCTCGTTGGATCAGGAAGTCAAATGATGAGTGAAGGCAGACATGTGGGAGATTGGTCAGGTGTAACATACTGGTGTAAAGAATGAGACTGTTTTTGTTTGTGACTGTATGAGGAGAGTAGAAAGAAAAAAAGCTAAGGAGAGTGCAGCAGCTTTAATGCATGCTAATCAACTTATCATGTCCAATTACAGTGCAAGGATCACGATGGCTGACTGCTGAGAGGAACTGATAGTCAAACTGCTTGAATTGTGGCTTGTGTTTAAATGTTTAAAGAAGGATATCTGTGTGCTTTTAAATAACAAACTCATAAATGCTAAACAGACAAAAATAAAATCCTTTCTTGAGGAGTTTGTGTAAAAAAGTAGTGCTATGGTGCAGAGAAACAAATCTAGAGTGCCTATTATTTGCTGTCTATGCTCAGTCTGCAGCTACTGTGAGCTTTTGGCATGCAGATTTAGTGTCATGAATTTGTTGGCATTATTGGCGAAGATGCCTGAAGCAAGTTTCATATGTGATTTTGTTTTTTATTGCAGTTACTGAATCTCTCTGTCCAAGTCGAAACATTATTTTGACTACATTTATTCAGTGTGTAACATTATTCAATGTTTGGATAGCACCCCTGCTGTTACTTGGTTATACAAAATCCTTTTGTTGAAAGGAAAGTCATTTATTAGTTTAGGGCTTAACTTGAGGGTATTTCCACTCTCAGCCAAAAGTCTTCTTCAATTGTGGCAAATAAGTATCAATCCATGACAGTTTAAGCATCATTGAGGGATTAAGTCTCCTCCTGTAATATTTAACAAAGCTGGAGGGAATATTGAGTGATCTTTGCTCATTCATCCTGTCTTTATGAGTTCATCGTAAAAAAACATTTTAAATTTTTCCTTTACAAGCCACCACTTTTCAATTTAGATTACCTTTTAATTCAAAGAATTCAAGACAAATACTCCAGCAGCTTTGCATATCCTTCACTCTGCAAAACAGCATCTATGAAAGCATGTTTCCAATATTAAACAAGAAATACAAGCTGGATGTTTTTGTTTTTTTTCATTGTTTTTCTTTTTCTAGTAGAGAAAAGGGGCAGTTCTCCCTCTTATTCTTGTACTTGTTTGTTTTTCTTTATTGCCATTCCCTCTAAAAACAACATGTAGATGCTGTCATTTGGTTGATGTGGAAACATGGTGACCCAAAAGTGAAGCTTAATTATTTATCCCTCTTCCTGTGTAGTTTTCCACTTTTCTTACCCATCTACTTATTTTTGTGGTAACATTTTTAATCACAGCTCCATTTCTTATACGCATGTTATTTCCATTTTGATTTACACATTTGCCTCCCTCACATGTCTTGTTATCTTGTCTTGTAGCTTCTACACATTAGGATCAATTAAAGAGGTAGACTCCAGAAAAAAAAATTAAAAAAAGCTCCTATTAAGGATCCTTGAGGAAACTAGGTATAAAAATAAGTTAATTCTAGAAAAATTGGCTTTATTATTTTATTAAGTGGGACTGTAGCTGGAACCACTGATTTAGTTAGATAGCAAAAATGTAACTAACAAAGAGAGATGATCATAACAGCATGTAAGGCACTAATGTGATTCATATCAATCCCATATTTATACATATTTGCAAAGAACTGAACACAAGTAAAAAGAAGAATGGTGACTAGTCCTGAGTAGATAAAACAGGTACTGAGGTCAGGAACACTTCTGCATTCTCTACCATTGTGCTGTCAGGGAGGCTGTGAAGTCACCAAGCTTTTAAAACCCAAACGTAAAACAACGTTTTGTGTGCTGTCACAAATGTGTCCTTTTTCTCCATTTTACCCTGACAGTTCATGCCAGATGTGTTTTAAATCTTCATATATAGAGACACAGACAGCACAAGCTTTTCCACCAATCATGCTTTGCTGTCATCAGGATGATAAAATTCTGCAGATGTGATTGGACTCTTGAAAAGTGGCGACCGCATTGCTTTTTGAAAAGCTCAGCAATTTTATTTCCTGTTTTTATGGGTTGTTTTCTTTTTTTCAAGTAGAAGCAGCAAAACAAAAAAAGCAGAGTGCTCAGAAAAAAGATGCTGGGTGCAGCAATGCTTTCTTTTTAGGTGGTCATGGGGGAAAAAAAATGAGGGCTTTGGGAGAAAAAAATGCTACATGTATAATTTACTATGTGTCCGCACTGAGATGGACAAGCAGGCAGGATGAAATAGGCAAAATACCTATAGCTGAGGCGACTGAGTTCAAGGCCTTGGGTTTTAATCACAAAAGACACCATAATAACAATAATACTACTACAAATAATAACAAATAATAGAGTATTCATAAATATTCTAAACATTTTCAGTTGCTCTTCTGGTGGGATTAATTCAAGAGTGAAAGGCTAGACGGTCCCCCATGTTATCACTACAGTTATACAGTAGTCTCTTTCTGCTAATTGACACAATGTGTGTCATTCAAGGCCATATGAGTATATATTAATCCATTAAAAAAAAAATACACTCACGATTCTCAAACCATTATTTCATGACATCTATGAGATATAGGGCCAACTGTCGCCTTTTTATCCCTCAAGTTTGACCTGGGACTGTAGAGTACCCAGTTTACCCAGTTTTGTGTGCCCATTAGGAGGCACTGCAGGGGTCAATAGAAAGCCTAGCTACTGAGTATATCCATGGGTAGCACAGTCATACCAAGTGATCCCCAGGATGACCACGAGTTTCGATGTAGTTTCCTTTTTTCTTTTTTACCAAAAACCCAGTCCGATAAAGACAGCTAATGCATTTGATTATTATGATTCTGGACCTCACTGTCAATGCATAAGTCAAGCTGAATGATGGAACTAGTTACAGTTATCAGCTGCAGTGAAGGCAGATGATGTGGATGAGACTTAGCCCAACCAGTCTGCCATCATGGCTGCGGGAGATTACTAGATCCTTTACATCTCAGCTGAGATGTATTCTCATAGCCTCTGTCTTATTTTGACTACTAAGGCCTAACAAGACAAGGGCTATGGGAGTGAAGCTATTTGTCCATAGCTGGAACAGTGGTTGACTGATGCCACAGCATTATTGCACCATGTCTCTGGGGCCCACTGTTGCTCCGAGATCCCCTGCAGTTTAGCCTGGGACTGTAGAGTACCCAGTTTCCATGTGTGGTCAGGCAGTACAAGGGTATTTGCAATGGAAAGGCTAGCTGCTGAGTATCTCAGTGTGTAGTAGTCATACCAAATGATTCCCAGGATGCACTGATGCAAAATTTTCAGGGTTTTGATCTGTGGGCCATAAGTTCCCATGTAGGTTATTGTTACCAAAAACCCAGTCTCATAAAGACAGCTGATGCATTTGATTATTATGTTCTGGACCTCACTGTCAATGCACAAGTCTTTGGAGACAATCTGAACTGGTAACTGTTAATCAGCTGCAGTGAAGGCAGATGGTGTGGATAAGGCTCAACACAACCAGTCTGCCATCATGGCTGCAGAAGACTAATAGATCCCTTCCAGTATAGAGTTACCCTAGGCGCACCACCTACATCTCAGCTGAGATGTATTCTCATAGCCTCTGTCTTATTTTGACTACTAAGGCCTAACAAGACAAGGACTATGGGAGTGAAGCTATTTGTCCATAGCTGGAACAGTGGTTGACTGATGCCACAGCATTATTGCACCATGTCTCTGGGGCCCACTGTTGCTCCGAGATCCCCTGCAGTTTAGCCTGGGACTGTATAGTACCCAGTTGACGTGTGGGGCCACGAGGAGGCACTGCAGGGGTCTTGGCGGTGGAGAGGCTATATACTGGCAGGAGGAGATTTTACATTGGTCTCCTCTTTTCACCCCATAGAAGAGGTTAGCCAGCTGCAGCAGCTGAATGCAGAAAGTTGCAAGCTGAAAGCATGAACTTCCAATAATCACCTCTGCAGTAGACGCTTCACACACGCCCTGTGAAGAGATTCACCCCCACACTCATTCACGCTCACATTCACACAGACATTCACGCACACATTCACGCACACACTCATACTTTTTTTTGTCTTTTTTTCATTTATTTATTTTTTTATTATTTTTTTGTTTGTTTTTTTTGTCTTTTTTGAGGAATTTGTTTTGTGATGCTTATTAATCATAAAGAAACTTTGATTTTGCCGTTTCTTTATACATACAAAAACAAACACAGTCTATGAAGATACTGTTAATGTTCAGGTCCCTTTCCAAGAAATTCCAGGCAAGAGGTGTAACGTATATAAATGCCTTTTTTAAATTCCACTCGCTACCTTGATGACAGTCTAATATCTTTTCTTCTTGGAATCAGTTCACAGTTGATGACAAGTCACATTGGCCAATTATCGACATGTTTTTAGCAGTGTGGGGGGAACCAGAGCACCTGGAGAAAACCCACGCAAGTACGGTGTGTTTAGATCTTTGACGTCCTCTCTGTGAAGTTGTAGCGCTAAGCGCCACATCACCGTACTGCCCACTTTTTTCAAAAATTTGTACTGAGTTTGAATGTGACTGTACATTTCTTATTGGGTTCAAAGGGAACTTTTTTTTTCCAGTTGGTAACAAGATGTTCTAACATCTCTGGATCGATTATATGGAGCTGGGACCAGGTGATATTGTTGCTTTTCTTCTACTTTTTTGATTTCCTCAAACCCAGAGAGTGGCGTAATCTTTTCCAAGCTGAACGCTTTGATTTAGTCTCTTTGCCTGCTCCCGCCATGGGTTTGGTATCTGGGTTGTTTGTCTCTGACTGCATTACAGGCTCATCAGTAATTTCCTTTACATCCTTGTTGATGACCTTTGTTGATTCTTCAGTGAGGTCTCCGGTCTCTGACAGGTTTTCCTCTGAGCAGTTGTCAAGATCAGTGCATGCAGGGACAGTGACTTCCTGTTGAGGCTCTTTCTGGATATTTTTCTCCTGCTTTAAGGTTTCCACTTGCTGTTTTAGTGCAGAAACATCAGTTTCATACCTTGAATTCAGTTCCTGGTGTAAAACTTGAATCTTGTCCATCTCTCCCTGCAAACGTTTCTCCTTTTCTTGAAGGAAGGTGATTTCTTTTGAGGCGTTTTCTTTGAGATGGTCTTGCTCAGCTCTCAATTTGTTAAGAAGTGTCAGGTCCTTCTTTGATGCCTCCAAATGACTTTTCTTCTCCTGAATTATCTGGAGTTGAAGTTTTTCTACCTGTTGTTTCAGTGCAGAGTTCTCTTTTTCACTCTGTTCTGTCTCACCTGACAAATGGTTCACCAGCTCTTTCTGTTTCAGAATCTGGATCTCTTGAGACATTTCTTGGTAGAGATGAAGCCTCTCAGCTCTCAGTTGGTTGATTTGCTGGAGGTCATTCTTTGCTCGCTCTGAATTAGCTTTTTTCTCATGATCAACCTCCTTCTGATATTTTTCTACTTGCTGTTTAAGTAGAGAAACATCTTTTTCATACATGCAGGTCATTTCATGGTATGACTCTCTAAGCTGCTGTAATTCACTCTGTGAATTTTTCTCCTTCTCTTGAAGCAATGTGACCTCTTGTGACATTTTCTGATAGAGATCATATTTTTCAGCTCCCAGGTCATTGATAAGCTGCAGGTCCTGCCTTGCTCTCTCTGAACTAGCATTTTTGTGGCAGTTTAGCTCCTGCTGATATGCCTCTGCTTGCTGTTTTAATGCAGAAACATCTTTTTCATACCTACAGTTCAGTTCTTGGTATGAAACTTGAAGCTGGTCTAGTTGTCTCAGCAAACTGGTGTCCCTCTCTCGCAGAGATGCTATCTCTTGAGACATTTTTTGGAAGAGGTCTTCCTTCTCAGCTATGAAATTTTCAAGGAGTTGTTCATTCTCACTGGTTCTTTGTTCATCCTCTGTCTGAATCCCAACATGCTGCATTTCTGCAGCAGCATCTTTACTTTTGGAGGGAAGCTCCTGGTAGGAAGTCTTGAGTTTGTACAGTTCTTCCTGGAGGGCAATATTCTTGTCTTTTTCTGCCTGGATTTGTGAGGTAAGAGATTGTTGGACAAGGATGTGGGCCACCTTCAGTTCATCAAAGTCTTTTTGCAGCATCTTTTTCTTCTTGTATTTCATGTCGTTGTGAACTATTTCGGCAATGGCTGCAGAGTTTAGGATCTCTGGATCACTAACCTTTTGTAATCTCTCGAGTTCCTTCTTTGTCTCTTTGCCCTTGTTGATAAACATTTCTTTGAGATTTTTCTGCCTTTTCACTTCTAATTTTGTCTCCTCCAACTGTCCTTCCAGTTCGACTACCTTTTGGTTCTCTTCAAACCATCTCCCTTTCTCCATTTCCAAAAGATGGTTCAATCTTTGGATTTCCCCATGTAAAAAATCCACGGGTGGAGGTTGAGACCAGGCTTGCTGGTTTTGTTGATGTCCCCATCTTGCCTGGGGTCCTGTCCTCCCATTGTGGTTTTGTTGATTTCCCCATCTTGCCTGGGGTCCTGTCCTCCCATTGTGTTGTCTTGGGAATTGATAAGCCATTTCTTCACAATTATAGTTGTTAAAATGTGAATCTACCACTTATCTAAACGGTTATCTTGGAAAAAGGCTTAGCAACGTCTGATCTGGTCAGCAGTAAAGCAAGCAATGAGGAACACAGAATTCTATGCATGCATGATGAGGTGATGACATCATTTGGGGTGGAGTCTGTTCAAAGATTCCATTCTTTATGTTGTTTACATTTAAACAAACACAGCTCCTAATCTACAGCTTAAATGTAAACAACATTCTTTATGTTGTTTACATTTAAACAAACACAGCTCCCAATCTACAGCTTGTACATTAAATAGTTAAACTATGATCAAGTGGGAATGCTTATGAATTCCCACTTATTGTTTTTCACTTTAAATTTTTCTGACTCTAACTAGTCCCGCAGTTTTCAACCGATTTCAACAATTTTGGTATCAAAACGTTCAGCTTGTTCAGGAGAATTGTGCTATGTCTTTTGTCTTTTCCAGTTGTTGAATGTCCAGGTTAAACTATTGGATGTAATCTTGAAGGTATTAGTGATCATCCCTGATCTCTAGTTTCCTGAGAAGGGTCTGGCTTTTCTCTACAGCCTTCAGCCTTTCTGCCTCACTTCTCTTCAAAGAGGCTCGTACCCTTATGACTTCTTGATTAAGTTCTTGACACAAAGCGCTGACGCTTTCTACATGATTAGAGATTTCAGTTTCTGCTTGGAGCCTCAATCTTTTCTCTGCTTGGAGCAACGTTTCCAGCTGCTGGATGTCATGTTGAAGTTTTTTCTGTTCGACCTCCTTGGATGTGCTCTGAGTTTCTTTTAGTTTCCATTTTTGTGCCTGGAGCCCTACTTTGCTCTTTTCTTGAAGCTCTTCTTCCAGTTGTTGAATGTCCAGGTTCATTATGTCCAGGTCACCCAGTTTCACAGAAGCTGAACCCTCCTGAAATCTTTTCTCTATATCTTTTAGTTTGTTGAAGAGTATCTGTATGATCTCTGTAGCCTTCTGTTTTTCTGCCTCTACTTGGATTCGAAGATCTTTCTCTCTCTTGATATCTTTGTCCGTTTCTTCGAACAAAGCCTCTAACTGTTCAAAGGTTGTAGTCTCTGCTTGCAACCTCAGCTCTCTTTCTTTTTCTAGCTTTTCTTGCAGCTCTCTTATGGTATTATGCATCTCACGTCTCTCTGAAAACCCTTTGGACATCTCCAATTTTTGGAGTTTGTCGGAAAGTGCCTGTGTGATCTCCAGAGCTTCCAGATTTTTATATTCACTTTCAAATCTGAGGTGCTTTTCTTTTTGAAGCTCTGTCTCAGCTTTCTCCAACTTCAGTTCAGCCAAACGCATTTCAAACTCATGTTTAATGTTGAGGTGGAAAATTTGGTCTTCATATTTCATTTGTAAGTTAATGAGTTCCTTCTGGTGTTTCTCTTTGGTGTGGCAGCAGGTGGACCTCATCTGCGCTTGGATTTTGTCTTCAGCTTGCTGAAGTTTGTCCTTCAGCTCCATAATTTCCTGCTGCAAAGCCTCATTTTCTTGGCTTAGGACCTTGTTAAACCTTTGGAAGACGTTAGAAGGTTGATTGGCTCCAATATTCTCCATTGTCTTATTTTTAACAAGGTGCTGCTAAGTGAAACTGTTCTCTCAAGAATGCGTCTGGACTGTGCACTAGACTAGGCTTCTAGAATTATAGAATTTTAGACTGATGATGTCATATCTATCACCATGGAAACAGTCACTGATCCCAGATCAGCCTTTCCACTGAATGGAACTTTGGTCACATGCACTGCATGAAAAGTGGGATTTTCATCAATATGCGGCACTGTAGATTGTCGTGGAACTTCAGGTTAGCGGCAGTTTACGGCAATTTGCAGGCTTCGTCGAAAACTCCCGTAAATTGTCAGAAATTGACGTGGAATTTCTTAGGCAGTGTTCCCCCCATGCCTCCCCCCCATGGAATTCTAGGGGAGGCTTTAACATGTAAATGAACATGCTGTGAGCTATACAAATGCAAACCAGGGTTGCAGGGGGGGTTTTACCCCAAGTGACATCTTTCTGAGGAAGAAAATCTCTGATACAAAGAGATCAGGCTTAGTATAGCCTCTCACATTTTAGCTTGAATTGATTTATTTAATTAAAGTATAGAGACCAAAACAGATCTTTAGCCGACAGAGCAATACATTTAGAGCAGTAATTATTTTTAAAAAAATTTGCATTTAAGATAAAAAATAAAATATTGTCTGTCAATATGCTCAATTCACAATTACTTAAGTGGAAAAGTTTCAAGAAATTAGTCTGAGATGATTCACTTTATAACATGGCGCATTATCCTGTTGGAAGTAGCCATCAGAAGATTGGTACACTGTGGTCATAAGGTCCGGCCAGGTCAAGATCCGCAATTGCAATTGCACCAAACAGGAAAAAGAACATCGACAAATTCCGGTTCGTCAAATTAAAATATAGCAGCAACAGATCGGTGACTAGAAATTATATATCTATATATAAAAAAAAAAAAAAACTAACACCGTTTATTTAAATGATTGGATCCAAACTATTGGTTATTCACCAACGAGGAAGCAGATTTCTCATCTCCATCAAAATATTTATTTTATACAGAGGGACTTAAACTTTAATCAAATCCATTCAAAAGAAACTTCTTATTACAGGAATGAAAAGAGATGCTGAGTTTGGAAGTAGTGAACAAGTTCATTAAAAAAAAAGCAGTTTTGAATTATCCTTATCCCCGTTACAAAAATCTACAAAAATATAAATATATATTTGGGCAGAAACTGAACATGTGCTGGATGATGGTGGGATTTTTTTAATATGTCATATTAAATTAAGCGCTCACAGGGTTCATACAGGAATGAGTGACTCTAATTTAATGCTATTTTAATGCAATTTTTTAATTATTTTTATTGATCCGCGGACACCCTGGTTCATCTCGCGCATGCTCTGTACGATCTCCAAGAAACCCAGAGCGGCGCGGTGTGCAGCCCACGTGGAGGATGTATGCTTTGCTTTGTGCAGGCGGTCAGGAGCGGGGAATGGGGGATTTCGGGGTAGGGTGGCCATTTCTATAGCACCAAAAAGGAGGACATTGTGCGGCATATCAATAAATTACTAAAAGAGGATGCTTGTGTAGCTGAATAGAACAAAATATTAAAGAAATGTAAAAAAGAATTGGTTCCCAGCATTTGTATTTATTTAATACATTGTGGTGTTTAAAAAGTGACAATTTTTTAACATGATTAATTTGCGCAGAACTGCTGCAATTGATCATAAAGCAGTTGTTTGGAAAAGAAGCTCGAGAAAGAGCTAGAGAATAGGACGATGCAAACTGCAAAAAGTGGCTGGAAAAGAGGAATTCATGACATGGCTGCAGCCTGTCGAGAGTAAAGATGATTTCACCATGTTCTCTATCTATCCATATCTATACATATATATATATATATATATATATATATATATATATATATATAAACTTGAGTCATGGAACTGTGCTTACAGCTCCTTATTTCATGTAAACTAATAACTTTTGTACATGATACTTGTTGATGGCATTAAAATTATTTCTAATAGCATTAAAAGAGCATTAAATTAGAGTTCCTCATTCCTGTATAAAACCTGTGAACGCTTAATTTAATCTGACATATTAAAAAAATCCCCATCATCATCCAGCAGATGTTCAGTTTCTGCCCAAATATTTTCTTTCTGTTGTGGATTTTTGTAACAGGGATAACTAGGATCATACATAGTTTGTATGAACTCTGTTTATTCTCTGCTTCCAAACTCATCATCTCTTCATCCATTCCTGCAATAAGAATTTTCTTTTAAAGTTGTGAGATTCACTCTAGAATCTCACAACTTCTTCCTGGTCTGATTATTTAATTAATTGCTCTTAGTTTTTGGGAATATATACAAACTATGCTCTAATTTCTAGATACCGATCTGTTTTTACTATAATTTAATTTGACAAACCGGGTCTTCTCTACATTCTTTTTTCTGTTTGGTGCGATTGCAATAGCGGGTCTTGATCTGGACGGACCGGAGGGGAGCAAAAAGTAGCTCAGCTCCGTATTTTGACGGTGAAGGAGAAGACGTACGTGGGCGGTGACGAGCGGAGGATGTGGAACAGCTCTCATTGATTTACATGACAGACAAGTACTCCGTACGTGAGCGGGGTGGAGCGCTGACGGAGTATGTGGAATCTGGGAGTAAAGGAGGACAAATACACGTCCGGCTGGGTGCAGCGCCGGACGCCGGACAGTGCAATGAAAATCCGGACTGTCCGCCCTAAAGCCGGACATCTGGCCACCCTAAAACTCCTCTTGGACGCGATGGCGACTCTGCATTGAACAAGACGAACTCAAAGAAGAGATGCTAGCGGTAAATATATGTTCGATTACTGCCTGCTAAGCTAAAAGCGGCCTAGCCTGAGCTATGGCTAATAGCAGCCTAGCTATTAGCCTATCTAGCCTAGCCTTGCAAGAACAAGCTTTATTAAAGTGCATTTTTTGTGATTTACAGGAAGCAGTACGCCGTCTTAACAACTCGGAGACTAATTGCAGGCGCTATGAACCGGAGCAAGGGTAAGATTTAAAGAATATGCTTTCATTCTGCGGTAAAAGGTAATGGATACCGATCATAGCTTTACATTTTGTTTTCACAGACCTCCTATTTGCTCGGAGCCATAATCAGCAAGTCCAGATTTGCACGATGTTGATAAAGACGACATTGTGTGTAAGTGACTTGTTTTAATGTTTTATCCTTCCTTGTTACTGTGACTTGCGTTTGATTTTTTATTTATACCACTGTCATTTAATTGTTTTCCAGCTGCCTGTAAGACGTACACTATATTGCCAAAAGTATTTGCTCACCCATCCAAATTATTGGAATCAGGTGTTCCAATCACTTCCATGGCCACAGGTGTATAAATTCAAGCAACTAGGCATGCAGACTGTTTTTACAAACATTTGTGAAAGAATGGGTCGCTCTCAGGAGCTCAGTGAATTCCAGCATGGAACTGTGATAGGATGCCACCTGTGCAACAAATCCAGTCGTGAAATTTCCTCGCTCCTAAATATTCCACAGTCAACTGTCAGCTGTATTATAAGAAAATGGAAGTGTTTGGGAACGACAGCAACTCAGCCACGAAGTGGTAGGCCACGTAAACTGACGGAGCGGGGTCAGCGGATGCTGACGCGCATAGTGCGAAGAGGTCGCCAACTTTCTGCAGAGTCAATCACTACAGACCTCCAAACTTCATGTGGCCTTCAGATTAGCTCAAGAACAGTGCGCAGAGAGCTTCATGGAATGGGTTTCCATGGTCGAGCAGCTGCATCCAAGCCATACATCACCAAGTGCAATGCAAAGCGTCGGAT